ATGACCGACTGATTTTGACATCATATAAGGGCATCTACAATCGGCTCTCTAAATCACTTTTTTAGACAAATTTTAGGGATGAATTATAAAAATGCAATTCCAACAATGCTCTCTATTTACTTCCTAAAATAGGGAGTCCTCTAGGAGCTCTCTATAATTTAATGATGCTTTATTTAATAAGTATTTCAAACATTTATTTAATGTTAACTACTTTTTATTTTATTTTTTAATAAAGATGGACCAATTAAAAAAGAGTTATAACATTTATGACTCTCCAAATTAAGGAGTATAGTTGGAGTTGAAATTTTTTAGAGCTCATAAAATAACTTTCTTATATTTTTAGCTAAGAAATAGAGAGCATCATTATATTTTTAGCTAAGACCGAATCACCATATCACATATCAAGCACTGCTGTGCGCGAATCATTAAGTTATTTAATTGAGATTAAATCGATATTCTTTTCCAGTAAGGTAGGACAAGAATTAGAGTTGATTGGGTCCATAGTTTATGCCGAGATGCGTGTGGAATAAATTGGCTTTGATTCCATCCACGATTTTTAAAATCAATAAAAGAAGAAAAACAAGCGGGCAGTCGTTGTAGAAATTTTAGGTGGGATGGAATGGACGGGTTGTAGATAATTTTCTTATTACCACGTACACACTATTATCTCCTTCCTTGGTAAGTTGGTAGCTAGCTTCCGTTAGACGCATACATTGATTTCTCCATCCCTCGCATTTGGATCTAGCGGCAAACCCCATTCATCTGCATGTCTTCTTCTTCTCTCATTGGCCGAAGGTGTCCATATCTTTCAGTCAATGTGTGGGACAATGTCTCTCTCTCTCTCTCTCTCTCTCTCTCTCTCTCTCTCTCTCTCCCGTTTTCTTTTCTTTTCTTTTCTTTTCTTTTCTCCTTTTTGGCATAGGGTTTTAAGTTGGTAGATTTACTATTATACTCAATATAGAGGCCTAAATTATAAAAATACCAGATATTAAATGAACTTTAGAAACACACCCAAAATCCATTTACAACATAACAAAGAGGCTTTTAACTTTTTATAAATTACAAAATTGCCATCAATTTCTTAAAATAAGTCCAATCCCAGAATCTCATAAAAATACCCAAAACATTAATATTATAGATAAACTCTATACCATTAAATTTCTATAAACAAACTCAAAAAAAACCCAAAAAATGATAGCTTCTCTTATTGAATTTAATATCTATTATTAAATTACTTTGGTGCCCTATTGAGTGTTTTGAGTATTTTTATGAGATTTTGGGATTGTGCTTGTTTTAAGAAATTGATGGTAATTTTGTAATTTATAAGAAGTTAAAAGCCTCTTTGTTATGTTGTAAATGAGTTTTGGGTGTGTTTCTAAAGTCCATTTTATATAGAGTATTTTTATAATTTGGTCTCCTATATTGGGTATAATAGTAAATCTCTTTTTTATCTACCACATAATTCGACAAATTAATATACTCTAATTGTATCTTCCAACTTCTAGGCTGTCATTTTTGTAGCGTTTATCTAGGAAAGAGCTTTTTGTGTAAATACCAATTGATGATACCTAGGCATGTCATCACGTTAATTGATATGATTAACCACTCAAAACACAGATTAATTAAGAGAGCTTTTATCTTGATTAAAAATTAATCTCAACTTACAGATTATGTTGGATGTTTAGAGCTAATTAATCATGCGTTGTATTTTTGTGCATGATATATGTGAACACACAGAATCGGTGCGTAAACATCATAGCTCATCTATTCAATGCCCCATTGGGGGAGTCAGAGTCAGCAGTTGGAGTGGGAACTGTGGGCTCTTCTGAAGCCATCATGTTGGCCGGCTTAGCTTTCAAGAGGAAGTGGCAGAACAAGAGGAGGGATGAGGGCAAGCCCATTGACAACCCCAACATTGTCACCGGAGCCAATGTCCAGGTATTTATATATGGTCATCATATTTATTTCATCAATTTTAATAATAAAAAATAAAAAATAAAATTCAACAATGATTGATGGTAGGGACACTCTTTTTTTAAACTATATCATTACATTAGCAAATCACAATATATGACATGTGTAATCGACTTGTTACATTGGTTATTTATTATATATGATTAGTTGATAATTAAAACATCGTCTGTCACATATAATGTAATGTGATTTAAGTAGCTAATAGAATGTTACGGAAATTTAATACCTTGGCATTGCAATCAATCAAACTAATATTGTTACTCTATGGATTAATTGAAGGTGTGCTGGGAGAAATTTGCAAGGTACTTTGAGGTGGAGTTGAAGGAGGTGAAGTTGAGGGAAGGATACTATGTAATGGACCCTGAGAAGGCAGTGGAGATGGTTGATGAGAACACCATCTGCGTCGCTGCTATCCTCGGCTCCACTCTCAATGGAGAATTCGAAGATGTTAAGCGCCTGAATGATCTCTTGGTAGAGAAGAACAAGGAAACTGGGTATGTAATCTCTCTCTCTCTCTCTCTCTCTCTCTCTCTCTCAGTTTTTATCTTATTTCCTGATGTGACACATACCATCACTTATTATACATGACTCAACATGTGTATAACACCTAACTTTTTTTCTTTTTCTTTTTTTTCGCTTGCGTAGATGGGATACTCCAATCCATGTAGACGCAGCAAGTGGTGGGTTTATTGCACCATTTTTGTACCCAGAACTTGAGTGGGACTTCCGTTTGCCCTTAGTGAAGAGCATCAATGTTAGTGGGCACAAGTACGGACTTGTGTATGCAGGAATTGGGTGGGTCATCTGGAGGAACAAAGAGGACTTGCCTGAGGAACTCATCTTCCATATCAACTACCTTGGAGCAGATCAACCTACCTTCACCCTCAACTTCTCTAAAGGTACCTACTCTTCAAACTGTCTTCATTATTTTATTGATATATCGTGGCAGTTTTAATACACTATTCACATTGGTAAATGTCCAACTGTAGACTGAGTTTTCATGCTTTCCATAATGCAGGTTCCAGCCAAGTTATTGCTCAATATTATCAACTGATTCGCTTGGGTTTTGAGGTAGGTACACTTACAAATTATAAATGAATAATATAGTTTGTCGAGAAACGGTAAATTTCGTGATATTCATTTATAGATTATTCTTGTAAATATACCAATCAAAAACTATTAAGACATCTAATTGTGTACATAAATACACGAATGCAATGCTTACCGTAACCACTTCATGAGAACAATCGATAATCCATTAAAACAGCTTGGTGATCATATATTCTTTAGGTATGTATGACATAATTAATTGAATTTTATGCATGTAAACCAGGGGTACAGAAATGTCATGGAAAACTGTCGCGAAAACATGATAGTACTAAAAAAAGGATTGGAGAAGACAGAGCGCTTCAACATAGTCTCTAAAGATGAAGGGGTACCATTGGTGGCCTTTTCTTTGAGGGACAACCACCGCCACGACGAGTTCGAAATCTCTGACTTGCTCCGCCGCTTCGGATGGATTGTCCCTGCCTACACCATGCCCCCAAACGCACAACATGTCACAGTTTTGCGCGTCGTGATTAGAGAAGACTTCTCTCACACTTTGGCGGAGCGCCTAGTGAATGATATCCAGAAAGTGTTGCATGAACTAGACACACTTCCATCTAAGCTTAGCTCCAATGTGAAGGCTGCCGACGGAGAGGATGGGAAACCTGCAGAGACGAGGGCACTTGAGAGTAAGAAGAGTGATTTGGAAAAGACAAGGGAGATCACAACAATTTGGAGGAAGTTTGTTATGGCCAGGAAGCAGAAGATGAATGTTGTTTGTTAGAAAGTGTCTGGTTTTTGCTACTCTAATTAATTATTAACTTTGCTAAAATTGAGTGTGTACTTGTATGTGCTTTCAATTGGAGTGGGAGTAAGCGTCCCTTTTGTATCGCGTGTGACAATTTCTTTTGCTCAAATTTGATGCCTAAAGAGTACTTTTACCCCCTTTTATTTTGTATACGTTGATGCAATCAACAATCAAATTTGTGACAAGTTAGTTCCTTTTTTTTGTGTGTGGACAAACTGGTACTTGAATAAAACCGGCAGGAGTCCACTGACAGTGGACTACAGGCAAATAAAACATTAAAAGTGAACATAGCTTGTGGATACAGATTGGAAAGAAAGAGACACTACTTCAAAAAGCCTTAAGTCGTCACAAACCAACCAGCATCAGTCTAACTATTTTGTGGCAGTGGGCATGGTAGGCCATCTTTGTTTAGAATGCCTATCAGAGAGGATGGGGGTCAATCAACCCAGACAAAAGAGCACATCCTCGAGGAAGATATCTTGGCCAAGTAATCAGCTGCCAAGTTGGCGGTTCTGGGAATCCAAGACCAATAACATTGATGAAAATTACTAGAGAACTATCGAATGGTTTTGAGAAGAGGGTATAATTGCCACCTCCCTTTCGTAATGCTTCCATGAACACTAGAAATCGCCTCGAGTGAGTCGGATTCGATTATCACATTATTCAAACCCTCATGAAGAGCAAACTTGCAGCCTTCCAATAGGACTGGTAAAAAATGCCTTGGAAGCCATTCGGCCCAGGCACTCTCATACCTCCTATTTGGAAAGCAGCTCCTGGTCTAACATAATTCTCTCTCAAATAGTGAAGAGGCGTAGAGTTCAAAGTATCCCCTTCTTCTGTTCATGAAAAAAAGCAACCAAATTGTGAAACAGAGAAATTTGTTGTGAAATAGAGAAATTTAGGCTTATAGACTCATTTGGGCCATGTTGCCTCACTGTGAGCCTGATTAATTAGACACCGAAAATTCTTCCCTCGGTGAAGGGGAATTAGTTGATAAGTTGCAGGGAAAAATATCAATCACTTCAAAATTATCCCTACACTCGAGATTCTAAGTTCGGTTTCCGCCCCTCCCTTAATATTGTTTGTTAAAAAATGGAATACAGCAATTGGAATGTACTAGAAAGGAATAATAGTAATTGCAAAAATATATAATAAAAAACTTAGCCAAAGAGCATAAATAAAGATGAACAATCATAAAGTCCACTCCCATCGATCCAAAAAATAGAAAATAAAAACAACTAAAATAACAAAAGAAAAAGAACACATCTAAGGCCTTATATCGCTTGAAGTTTCCAGTGCACAAGTACTCCTCCTTTGCAGATAGAGACCTAAGCTTTTAGGTATGATGAAATGGGCACGATTCAGGGTTTGGATGATGGCGTGCCCTTCACCACTGTAACTGGACATGAAGCATTAGTCACCACATAGTTGCTAACACTGCCAAGCAACACCCTGCAGGATTTAGGCATCAAATTTCCAATGAATCAGACATATAGTACATTCCTTTGACTAAAATGTTGACCAGATCTGATGTTTTAAGAGACCTCTGTTCTGTAGGGGTTCAATTTAATCTTAGAATGTGAGTCAACTTTAATCAGTGGAAATTAGAGGAGAGTCGTCACCTTTTAATGAGGCCTAAGCCCCTGCTTCCAACAACAAGCGAATCAAGCTTGAGATCTTGCACAGCATCACACAACTTCTCCCTTGGATCACCCCAGTAAACCTTGGCCACAACCTTAGCCTATTCACATTCCAAATACAGCGCTTATTTATACACACATAAAATAGAAAATGTTACCTTTTAACTTTTGAAATATGCTGTCATTTGAGATAATATTTGTCATATATAGTATTATCAATTATATATAAATGGCATGTGTATTATTTTTACAATGTACTACAATGGTGCTCATTCTAAATAAAAATACTTTACCGTATGACATGTACCTTTACAGTTACCTATTATCTTTTATTGATAATAGGTACATTATGTATTTAAAAAAAGAGGTACGTTATCTTTTATTGATAATGTCAATTTACCTATTATCTTTTATTGATAATGTTAATTTACCTATTATCTCTTATTGATAATAATTTACCTATTATCAATAGGTAAATTATTTTTATAAAATATTAGGGACATTATTTTCAAAAATGCGTTAAATAAGTTGGGTATATTATTTAAATAATAAGTAAATTCATAATCAAAACTGATGATAAAGAGTATTGAATTGCAATTACCCAAATAAAAAGAGTATTTAATTGCAGGCTAATTTGGTGGGAAAAAATCAAAACAATAAATTCGGGAACCAAGACTTAATACACCCACCACATAACACGTTAACTTGTAAATAGGGGTAGTTTTGGAATCCAAAAAATATAATAAATCATATTTTAAGTTAGATTAGGTAACTTGCTTAGTTGGATCCTAGTAATTGGGTTTTATTTGAAAAAAGTGGATATTTTAAATAGAAAAATAAAGGGAAGGGCTTTATGTGATTAAAAATAAATTTTATGGATATAAGCTCAATTTACTATTAAAGAATTAACATGTATCGATATTGTCGATAATGTATCGATAACATGTCGATACATTAATTTGTTATTTGACAATGACATCCAACCTTATCAATACAATATTGACAATCCATTCTATATATAAACGGACTAGTACTGTACATATACTTTTCTATACTTGTATATGTATGCTTAAGGTATACAAACTTTCTCCGAAGTCAAAATGTCATTTACAATAGGAGAGAGGAGATTAAGAGCATACATACCCTTTTAGTCCTAGAAACTGTATCAAGAATATCAAGAACCTCCGGATCGCTAGTAAGTCCATACTGCTTTGAGACATTAGTCTCTACAAATTCTTCCAGAGGAATCAAAGCTGCAAACACATAAAACGATCGAAGAAGCCAAAAAATAAAAATAAAATACAGAGAATGAATGTAATTTGATTGATGTGTACTGTTACATATGAGAATTACTAGAGAGACATATATATATATATACGTACGTGATCCAGTGTCCTCGAACAGCTGCTTTCTGGTATTGGTAGCTTTGGGAGGCTCAACATGGATTAATATGATGCGATCTCCTTCTTCTATCAGATTATCGACTGCCCATCGTAGGGCCGATTTGCTTGTTGCAGAATAATCCATGCCTATGCCAACACTACGTGCCTTCCCCATCTCTCTCTCTCTCTCTCTCTCTCTCAATAATAAGATTTTTTTTTTTCTTTCTTCTTTCTCTTTTTCTGTTTTGGGTTATAGTTGGCCTATCTATAATACTTAGGTAGTCTTACTGTGGATGCTGGCATGTTGCAGAAGGTGGAAGAAGGTTCTTGAAGGCTCTCTCTAGTTGGCGACTTTTCTTTTTCTGAAATATATATCCCCATATATATATATATATATATATATACACACACACACAGAGACACCTATAAACAAACGGTACTTCTAGTCAAAGTACAAGAATAAAGCATAAATTCCGGCGCAAGTTGCTCTTTTACATTAATATCCATTAGTCATGATGCTCCCACTGATTTGTGCTTTAATACCTAGAATCTTTCTTTGGTGGAAAATACTTTAACCGATGCTCAATTTCAAGACATATTTTTTATAAACTTTTGTAATGGTTACTCACAACAAGCTTTTCCATGCATAAATTCTTGCATATAGAATGTCAACGATTTATTCGTCACAGTTTGTCATGAATTTTAATAAAGTAACTCTAATTTTTTTCTTTATCCAAACAACACTGTGCATGCATGTTGATTAGCTATATAAAAAAATAATGAACTGTAATATCGGAAGTATTAAATCTCAAATAATATAAATACTAACAAATTTAGACAGAAGAACTTTTTCTTTTGTTAGATGAGATACGAATGAATATGCTTCACATCTATTTGAGTCAGCCTTGGTCTTTGCTTGCTTGGGCTAGCTGGCTTGTACGGCTGGATCCTGATGTTACATCTGTTGTGATGCCCAGTGGCAGTTCTATAGCCCGGCCCAAATTCTTCAAAAAAAGAAGCTACATATGTTATAGCCCAGTCCAAAAATTAAAATAATAAACAACTCATTCCTTACCAAGTATGTAAGTTTTGACCAACTATCTTTTAAATTCTGGATCGGCCACTAGGGATGGCGCATTTTGATTACGGAGATTTCATTAGTGTTTGTTGAGCATGGTTATCATTTGGATGTGTGTTGTCAAACAACCATATTTTGAAAAAGGCGTGTGTGCAATTACTTGTTTACACAACAGTTTTGAAAAGACCCCATTATGTGTTTGCAATTCATTAATTTGTTAAAGAAAAACTCTCACTTTATTGATCACTGTGGAGAATATGATCACTAGCAATTCCCCTTCAGGGTCAACTAGATTACAGCTATCCAGTTACACTGGAATTTTAGCAACTACGCAAGAAAAAGGATCTCAAAAAGAAGAAATTAAAGGCGTTATATGCATGAAGGCAGCAGCTCAGGAGGGGAGTTTGTATACTAATTAAGAAATAAATCTATTAATTCGCGGTGGTGCTTAGAGTATATATGGTCGGCTACTTGATGGGGTTCATAGCTTGAGTTGTGTGCTGGAAATTGTAGAAGCCACTGCTAGAGTTGAAGCCGAAGCACTTGCTGCTCATGAAACTTGGTTCCCTAGGAACTGTCAAGGGCCTTCTTGATCTGCAATCCAACCAAGAAGAAAACGCATTATTTGGTATATGGCAATTAAATCTGGAGAAATGCTAGCTAGACTTGCTTAAAAGAGAGTCGTTTCGAAGAATAGAAGAAAAAAATGCGTGCACAAAAGGAATAAATTGTTTTGTTTTTTACCTTTGGGGAACGAAAGGTTTGTCAAAAAGGGGCATCAATTGAGCCCTTGGAACCATCTCCTTTCTCAGTAAGCGAATCTCTTCCTCTTCTATCATCTGCTCAGTTTATAACACTTTTGCGTCAGAATGTTGCTCTCTCTTGCACGCGCTTACATAATTTTAGATAACCGGAGAAAGAAAGTTTTCATTAAAATTGATCTATGCGCGGCATGCATATACCTTCTGCAACATTTCTTCTTGTTTTCTCTGCTGTTCCATGATGCTCAGCTTGGCTGCAACCTGTGAATTTTACACGTTAGCTAAATTTCAAGAAACACTTCAGTTGGGGGTCTAAACTAGACTAGACTCACCATGTAGTTGAACGTTGCTCGTCTGGTTGCTCTTTGTTGAGTGTGGAGTCTAATTTCTTGAGGTTTGGTATTTTCTTTTGTAGGAGACTTCTGAGAAGACTAGTAAAAATAATAGACAAGGTACCACAATTACTATGTGAGAGAGAGAGAGAGAGAGAGAGAGAGAGAGAGAATTATATTACAAAATTTACCTTAGATTTGTCATGGAGCCGCTCTTTGCCTTCATATTTTGGCTGTAAAGTAAGATAGGCTATTAGGTGGCAGATGATATGGAGGAATAATTACCAAGACCTTAAAGCCCATAGAGTAAGCAAAGGATCCAAGAAAGCAAAGTATGTCATGCATATGTAATGATAAATTTTACTTTCCTGTTGAGGATGTGACCTCGTGGAATCTTAACTAGGAGAAATGAAAGCACTTTCCATTTCTTTCATGCCACTTGACCCCAACAAAATAGCTTTATTACTAGAATTATTAAGGAAGTACACTGCCACCTAGCTATTTGTTCATTACTGTTTTAAATAGTAAGAAACTTGTAGCTTAATTAGTTTAAAGTACACGCACTCGAGGTCTTGTGTTTGATTCTCCGCTCTTCTAGTATCACTTATAAGAAAATCTAAATGGTAAACATAATGAATAAAAACGAAAGTACATCAATAATTAAGAAGAGGCTAGACCAAGTTCACACTTGGAGACTCTTCACACTTGAGTGCTTAAACCTTCATTAAGCTGATTAATCAATAGGTGAACATGCTATTAGAAGTAATATTTGTCTGATCTCACCATTCCTCCAGAATTTGAGCTCCATGAACTCGTTGGAGACTGAGAAGCAGTCTTCACAAACTTCATTGACAAAAAGAGAACAATTAAAAGAAAGGAAAAGAAAACAAGAGAGAATAATAAATTAAAAAAAGAAAGCAAGACTACCTTAAGAGTAGATTTGGTGTGTGGCTTCAACATAACGTGTAAATATATTTGGTGTGCATGCTAATTGATGGAAGTGATGAGTTTATATAACAAGGTTTGGAGATTGGTACTTGTCTTGAGTGCTTGTTTCGGTTGCAACATCAAAGAATTTGCATGCTTTCTCAGTCTCGGGTACCAAACATTCTGATTAAATCTCCCTCTCATGCAAATTATTGTCAAACCCTTTTAAGTTTTAAGTTCCTTCAAATCTCCTCTTGGTGTTAACTAAACATATAATAAATCCAAAAAGTCTGCCTTTGCTTCACATCATTAATTTCTATGCTAACTTAAAAACTTAATTACTACGAGAGTAATTAACTTGATTTTCTCAGATAATGATCATATGCTGACTGCTTGATTCTATCATCATGAATATGAGCTGTTTTCGTTCAGTAATTTTTGTGCCAATTTTTACTGCCTTAGCTACTATAACTAGCGGTAATCGAAATCTAAAGCTTTGAATTAGGTCAGCTTTTTTTAATGATCCAGAGGTAAAACACAGCTAAATGAAGTAGCCAAGTGATCAAACCCGAATTACTCAATAGTGACAAAGAGATATGAAAACTACATAATATAAATTACACATAGTATAAAGATAAACCTAACCCATGTCCGTTGATTATGTTGCTGTTTTTTGGTTACAATGGAAGCCAATTCAACTCCTGATCTAGTCTAAACCATGTCCGTTGATTATGTTGTTGTTTTTTCAATTGTGAATTTTGAATCTTGACTATTGATTAAGTTGATTTAAAGAACAGATTGTCGATATGTTATCGATAATGTGTCGATATTTATTGTTATCACTAATAATACTAACATGTTACCGACACATTTTCGATAATATCAATAAACATATGTTTATTTAATTTTAAAAAAATCACGTTCTACACAGAAAATATAAATATAAATATATATATATATATAAAAGTGAAAAAAGGGGAAAAAATTGGTAGAGTTATGGAGTTGACTCATTAATATTAATCAGTCACAGTGAGTGCACGTAGTACGGTTGCACCGTTGCAGACAAATATGCACCGTTGCAGAGTCAAAAGGAGTGAGTGCAGCGTTGCTTTTATGTCACTGTTTTGCAAAAAGCAATGGCCCTCCAATCCAAAGAAGAAGATCAAAATATGAGCAAAAGGTTGTTAACCCCAAACTTTCAAGCATTTCTTATTAAAGCCGTTAACCAACCAAAGACACAAGGCCTACTTTGATTGATTGCATTGGGAAGTAAAACCATTCTCAGCAATTGGCTTTATCATGGTTAAGTAGCATGTCACAAAGTTAGTTAGGTCATGGATCCAAGATGAATTAGCGAACTACTAATGCAATGCTTTAATTTGAAGTTTTGGTTTCCATCATTAGATATTTTGATTAGCTTCTTCTATACATAATTCCACCCCCAAAATGGGCAGGGTGTCCATATTTTATTACCTCATTCTAACAGAGAACAGCACGTTTGAAGTTTTTCTAAGTTAACACATAAAATTAGCATCCAAAAAGTATTATGAGCATAGTTTTAGTAAATGTGTTGGCTTAAGTTTTGCCCTATAAGGCTTGACCAAAACTTGCAACACTCCAATACCGCTTATAATTCAAGTGGTAAAGAGTTTTACTTGTGCACTTGAGGTCTTAAGTTCGACCACCTAATTTCTTAGTAGAAAGATATTTGATGTATCTCCTGAATCGGTGTGCAAATCCAATATATCAAACCATTATGGGAAAAGCAAAAGACAACGTTAAGCCAATTGAGGCCCACAAGGGTCAGCTGACCCTCCTCCAATTTATGCAACAAATGCATTTGTTATGGTTTATTTTATAGATGACCCTTCTAACTTTCTAACTCTAGTTAATTGTTATGATTTCCTACATTTATCTTTACTCCTTTTTTTCTTTTTAACTTCAATCTTTCTATTCTTTCATTTATTGAGTTCTCTTACAATTTTTGTTATTGCATCAACTATTAGTCAAGTAAATCTCCCAGTACTAGCTATTCAGTTCTCTTTTAAGCAATGTATTTTGATTTGATTTATGTTAAATTATTTCTTTGTAATTTATTGTGCGATGCGAGTTATGATTTTGGAAGATAACAATTAAATTAGACAATAAAAAAAATATTATGTTAATGTTCACGGCTTTCTTAGACTAATAATGTTGACCCTTCTTGAAAGAATTCTTGGCTACGTCACTGACAAAAGATAACCCATATTACCTTAATGTTACAGGACTTTCAGGCTGATCAATCGACTAAACCAATTCTTATCCCTCTCATCCTTGCTTCTAATACCAATAGAATTCTTAGAAGTGTCATTGGTTTTAAATGTTTATGTGGGTGTCTGGTTGTTGGATTGACAAATTATATCTTTGGTCTCCGTAATTTGACTTTTTTTTTTCTTTTTTTTTTTTGGTCGAAAGTTGATATTTAATAAAACAAAAACCTCACCCAAAACGGGGAGAACCCAGAATTACAACACCAGCAATCCAGTAAGGAAGCACAACATAATAACTAATATGTGATATCGCATGAACAAGAACACCAAGATTGTCCCAGATGTTGATACCTGTTGAGGCCCAAAAAATTCACGGCTTGCACCAAATGAATTCTCGGCCCAGCGCAATACCTTATTGAGAAAAAACCTGACTTTGAGCACACAAAAGTCCGCCGTGCACGAATCACACTCCATGCGCTATGCCAAATAAATAATTTGTCATGCTAGGAATCAAGATTAAGATTATAAAATACTTTATCTTTGCAAATCTATGCTAATTATCTCTTCAAACATAATCATTAAAAGCATGCCAAGCGATATGCCATGTCAAGCGACATGTCATGCCAAGCAAGAAATCATTATTACACACTCAACCACGCTACAAGTCTAAGTAGGCTCAAGCCACTCGAATGCCCGGGGCTTGCTTGAGTGGGTTGTGGTATGGATGGTAATAAATTGTTATGAGGCCCATTGATGGACCAAGAAGTGGAGGTTCTGGGTTGCTTGGGAGGCTAGGAACCCAAGCCCATTTCTTAGGCCCAAACATATGAGTGAGCACAAAATGGAAAAATAGTCCAATCAAAATAGCCCAACCAAAAAGCCCAACTCAAATGATCCACTAAAATTAACCCATATAGCCCAATGTTAGATGAAGATAGCCCATTTGTTTGGAAAGTTGACTTGCTACTTTAAAGGCCCACACAATTGGAGGTAAGAAGCAGCAAAAGCATAAGCCATTTTGCTAAAAGAAACAGAAGCCACGTAGGGACCAAAGTGTCCACATATGCAGAGCCGCTGGAAGGCTCCAATACATGGGAAGGAATAATTTCCAAGCACAAACCACCCAAAAAACCAAAGGATATTAACGTGCAAGCTGCTAGGAAGAGAAACACTCTTCGAACCAGCATGCAAACCCCAATTCCTTCCCCCATCAGACCTGGCCATAGGAAAGGGGAGGAAAGAAAGGCATAAGATAGCTGGGAATGGAAGTCTCCCACTGAAACAACTACGGGAAAGAGAGCCTTGAGCTCCCAAAAATCTTTGATTTTGTGCAAATAGGCAAAGGAAATTTCACCAATATAGGAACAGTTAAGGGAGGAGATGAAAAAGGAAGGGAAAAGCTTGACCAAAATGGGTAAAAGCCATTAGGGTTTCTTGGGAAGTAATAGTTTCCAGCGGCTATAAAATGAGGCCTCTTCTACCCAACGAAATCAACCCACACCTGGAGAGCAAGCTTTCTCTCTTACCTGCAAAAGCCCAGCAACCTCGTGCACTATTCACCCTCCTTCCCCATTTTCTTCTTCTGGCAAGCTGCCGGAAGAACATAGTTATTTCTTTTCCTCTTCTCAGTGACATTTGCTTGCAAACCTCTTCTTCCTCCCCTTAAACACTCATCTTTCTCCCTAGGAAGCCATATTTCCTTTTTGGTGCTCAACTCATACTAATTTTGCTTCCATGCCGCATGCCTCTCATGCCAAGCTCAAAAATTTATTTGTAAGCATGCATAAATTACCTGTAAGTTGCTATCGTTTTGGCTGGTGAAGGTACCCAAAATACTTCCTAAGGCTCTGGTGCTCTTTCGAAGCATTTTCGGGGCTTAATTTTCGAACTCAGACAAATGGGACAATTTTATCAGTCTACCATTTACGGCAGTCGGACCCATTTACAGCTGCCGGAAGAAAAAGTCCCCTACAATACCATTAGATAAACAAAAGTTAAAACATACAACACAAATTGAAATAAAAACAGCAAAATGCCCAATTGAACAACAAACAAAAGATAAGCTTATCAGCCACAGATCCACCACCATAACCAAAACCCTCAAATCCGTAATTTGACTTCTTGTTCTACACTTCGGTGGTATTTCAATTTTAGCAACTTTAGTCACGTTACGCTTGCAATCGAGACCAAATCATAGATTTCGTTAAAGATTAATAGATGAAATTTGACATAGCAAGATACAACCACCACATGGAGGATACTTTTGTTTCTCCAAAATATTTGCATCAACCCAAAATGCAAAAATTTCATCTTTTTTTTACGATGTTATACTTGTAGGACTCGATTTGCTAAGTTAACCAAACGAAACTACATGATTGAAATTGTTAAAACCGAAGTAAAAATGAGCCAAAACCCAAGGACCAAAAATGTGATGTGGCCTACATCTTAAAGAGTCTGAGAAGACTAAATATGAGTATTTTCTGCAATGGTAATTCTCTCCTGGACCCTGTAGTTGTATGTAATCACAACTCTTTTACCTATAAAATGTACAAACCCTAATTCTAATATACTGTAAAGCGGGTAGGAAATGTACCGAAAAAACGAAGTTGAAAGTAAACAACTACAAAAGAATGAATCATGAAATATTCACAAAAACCTAAACCTCAAATACGAAAGACAAATAGAAACTGAAAGAAAAAATGCCACTATTCTGGGGCAGTTGAATCTCTATTTAGCAGTACATCCCCAGACTCCTTTTTCTTGAAAAGCTTTTCAACTACATCATCCCACTTCGCCCTTCCCCCAGTGGACTTTGACTTTGTGTCCGGAGGGTCTTTACTCTCAGTCTCACTCTTTGGATCCTCTGGTTCTTGGTCTTCGGCGGCTTCCTCGTTGGATGTTACCGCATGAGGTATGTTCAAACTGACAGCTCTTTCCAATGCATCTTTGTGTTCTTTTTCAATGGTCTGCAACCTTTCTAGTTTTTGTACTTTTGGAGCAGTCGTTATGGTCTCTGAACTACTTTCCTTCATTCTCTGAAGAGAAATTCCATCACTACTCAGTAATTATTCAACAGAAAAAACTAACCATTTACAATCCAATAGCAATCAGGAAACAAATCTCAAATCAACCTTTTACTTCAAAATTATGGTTCGCATATACAATATGCTTGGGCAAAAAGGATCCAGAATTAGCAAGCACAAAAAATGCAAGTCATTCTGACAATTGAATCATTTCACTTGTGTTGGGTTGGAGTTGACTTGGCATTTGAACAAAGTCCAGTACTGCAAGGAGGGAGGAAACAAATTATAGGGAAAGGGAAGTGAAAGTGTTTTGTTTGAGCAGTTGGAGTAAATGAAGGCACAATATCAAAATCTGAATTGCCAAGAAGGCAGGAGTGATCAGACCAAAGACAGTCTCTAAGGCTATCTTCTGCTTAAACTAACATAACTCCTTCCTTCCTTTACATCTTGTCCGGTTTCCAACAACCAAAGACAGACAGTCTTAAGGCACACGCATCCACCACATGGGTTTAGTTCATACAAGAAAGTTTACAAACATTAGGACCCTTCTGATAGTTAATAAACACTTATAGACGGCTAACTTAGGGATGATGTTAGTTTGAGGCTTTGAGGAGGAGAATAAAGAGAATTTTTATGTTCTTTACATTCCTGTGCAAATCATTATGGTTGTATTGTATAGTTCTATTGTAGATTTTGTACCAACAGTTCCCAAAATAATGCTCATCCAAAATAATAATAAAAGAAACTACCAAAAATATCAGTAGATGGTAAGATTTGGAACATGATATCCAATCTTACTTTATTTATCAACAATGTTAATTCACGGCAATCTAAGGAGAACAGAGAAGATAATGATTGTAAAAGGTTGAAAGTTATGCTCCACTTACTTGTAAAGCCTTGTCTGCTTCCCTTTCTATCCAGATAATTCCATGATCAGATGTAGCGTTACATGACAAGACAATATGTTCAAATCTCCCTTCAACAGGAATGGCAGTTCGGACTTCTGGAGGATACCTCCCACATCTGGTATATCAAGAGGTGAGGAAACTCAACCCTCGGATGAACACAACAATTTTGATTGCAACATGACATTAATGTCTTCTAAAAAAAGTAAGACTTCACACTAGTTTAACACACATATACACACACCCACAAACCCACATAGAAAAGCCCTTCAATACATACAGAGTTGTTCTAATTTTAGAACTTTGCAAATGAGTATTAGGAAGATTTGCTCGATTCAAAAGTAAGGTAGAAAAATAAAATCCAGCTTCATAGTTGATGTTTATAATGGATTTTTTCCAGAAATGCAAGCATGGTTATAGATAAGCCAACAGTTCGTCATAATTACCAAAACATACTCCTACATAGAGTGCCAACAAAAAGAAGCTTTGAGTGGTAATATTTTTTATAACCAAAAATATTGCAGCATAATGATCCATCAAAGTACTATTATTGCATTTTCCTTTTTTCTTCCTCATCTCCTATGAGACATAAAAGAAGGGTTTTGCATCATTTTACAGTCAGAAAAGCTGTTTTTATACCCACACAAAAAAAAAAAAAAAAAAAAAAAAAAAAAAAAAAAGGGGGCAAAAGCAGAAAACAACCAGCGGCTTAAGATAGTACTAGAAGTATCAATATAAGAAATCTATGAACCAAAATCAGCATTTAAAACTGCACAACACACCCCCGCTTTGATTTGAACTTCACATGTAAGAAATAAAAATAATTAAAAAAAACTCTAGGACGTTGACTGAGACTCTACTATTTAGGAAAGGTCTGGTTCCAGTTTACAATCTGATATTGATTTTAAAGCCTCTATGAGTCTGAAGACTAATGTTCTCGTCAGATAGACCATGCAGGTGAAAAGACACTAAGCATCAATTTCCTAGATAGAACCTAAAGGGGGAATGCCTCACTTTATCCAAGTATACGAATTACAGAGCTGTGACAATTTCTACGCTACGCTAAGGATGCGAATCAGGCAAATTACATTCATTCTGGATCTGCAAATAAGGTCATTACCATTGGCTCCATAAGTACTGAATGGAATGGAAGTTTCATTTCCGATGAGAATTAAGTAACATTTTTAGCATCATGCAATAAACAAAGAAAAAAAAAATGATAAGAATGTGAGGATCATGGTGCAGTACCTGCAAAATTTGCGCTCTACAATATGATACATCCGGCCGGGTGCATAAAGCCTTCTGGGATCTCTAAGCTTTCTACCTTCTGGTATGAAGGTATCTCTCAAACAAACCAAAAATAACAAGCAGGGCAAGCTGTCCAAAAGCACAAAGTCTTACTTGGTAATTCACTCCACTAAATCTACAATGCTAATTATATTTGTTTTTCTTTTTTGTCACATTATAAGATTAAAATATACAGGATTCAAAGAATACGAACCAAAAAATTGACTTGAAAATATCCTCCAAGGGGGTGGCAGTTCTTGGCAAGAAATCATCCTACAAAACACAATCACCAACCCCACAAGTCAAGAAAACCATAACAACCATCTACAAAACAAAAACAAAACACATTCAACAAACACAAATGACAAAAATTCCACAAACACACCTGCAAAACCACAGAGTATATAACATCGGCATACTTGACGGCCAAATTCAACGACATACAACGCGCGGGAGCGAGCGCGTAGCACCTGACCTTGCTTCTGGGGATCCCACCCAGCCTGTTCCTGTGGTTCACCACAATCACAGTCAACAGAGCCGCCACACCAGACCCCAAAGAGTGGCCGGCGAACACCATGTCGTAATTAGAGCCGTTCTCGAGCCACAGCCGCTTCAAAGTCTCGTCTTCTTCGTTGAGCAGCCAAATCGCCGACTTCAACAGGCCATGGTGCACGTACCCGCCATCGAACATCTGCATTCCGAGCTTGTTGTCGAGCAGGAGCTCGTAGTCGCTCTCTTTGACCAAATTGAGGCCGCGGATCGCGAGGACGAGCTCCTTGTGGTCGTGGTCGACATAGATGAGGTAGGGCGGGGCGTGGCCGTGGGTCTGCTCGTAGGTGACGCGCTTGACGACCCAGTCGGGGTTGGGGCGGAATCCGACGGTGGGGATGAAGTTGGGGTGGTGGAGATCGGGCTCGTAGACGGCGAGGATCAAGCGGCTGATGCGGGGGACGGGGTCGAACTCGACGGGGGTGGCGGATGTCCACGTGGCGCTGTCGTCGTCGCCGATGTAGGTGCAGCGCCGCCACACCCAGCGCATACAGCCCAACATCACCACGCACTCCATGCCGCACGCCACCGACATTGCTCTGCTGATCTGGCAAGGTTGAAGATTTGGTGAAGTGGGTTTTGTGTTTCGTCTGCTATTAATTTTGTGAGCTCATGAGATTTTGACGACGGAGGATTTCACGCGGGAGAGACAGTGAAACAGTGAGAAATGGGTGCTTGTCTTAAGGCTTAGGCCATCGCTAACATGCGTTTGTGTCTTTTTTTATTATTTATTTAAACTTCTTCTTCTTCTTTTTTCCTGAAAAACCAAAAAATAATTAAAATGGCAGGACACGTAAGCTAAGCCGTGATTAATATTTAAGACCAAATTTCCGACCAAAGAAAAAGGAAAAAGGGATGTAAGATCACATTAACAAAATAAATAAATTTGAATGGCATCTCATCACTGATGATGACATTGATGAGATGAGTCATACATTTGAAGAAAAAGAAAGGAAGATAATGTCATTTTTGTGGAGAATCTCCAACCATGCCTCAATTTTCTGTTTCTACTTTACTAATCTTGGTGGCAGAACAAATTTCATTATTTCATAATTTATCTTTCTTATTTTTCGTTAAATTTAAATAAAGAATATTACCAATTCTACACACAAAGAAGTAAATGTTAAAACATAAAACTATCATGAAATATGGATTTTATGCAACAGTCATGAATTTGAATTCAAAATTTAATTCACATGAAATATTATTCGATTTTCCCTCGATGAATCTACAATAGAGGAGCATATGTAGGTAGGACGGTTGGCCAGTGACCGCCCGCCATCTTGAACTCAAGTTTGAGCTTTCCTCTTGAAAAATGATTATGAATTGCAATTTTTTTTTCCCTATAAATTAAAGAAATGATTATTGTGGTATGGTATGGTCACGTGACAATCACTGGAAACGTATCTTAATAAAAAGCCTAAAGGATTTTTGTTAAGGTTGTGGTTGAAATTTGTTGTGACGAATACTTGTAGCCATTGAATCATGATAATATATATATTTCTAGATTGTAAGTTCAACGGGATAGTTATAGGTTTCTTGAAACTCTTGGAAAGTGTGTAGCTTTGGAAGTGGTACGTACAACAACGACTCATTTACGTGGGAATATTATGATCCATCGATTGTTCTTGAAGCCATACATAGTTAGTTTCTGTCTATTCTATGTTCCCTAGATATGACATGCCACCATATCTTCTAATTGTTGCCAATATCTTAAAACAATCTTCTTTATTTTACTTTTCAACTTGATTAAACCTAAAGCACAAGTGTCTCAAAGGCTAAACCCATATCCTTCCCTTGGATTAAAAATATATCATAATAAAAAGTAAAGCGAAGAGGTGTTGGTTAAACTATTTTTTATTGCTAAGTTATTGATAATTTTTTATTATTTATAAAAACCAAATTGGGAAGAGGGGAAATCGAACTGAAGACCTCGGGTGTAGAGATAAATGCTCTTAATCACTTGAGTTACAAGCCCATTGTAAGTTATTTAGAATTTTTAAGGTAATATTTTGTAAGTAAAGCTGATCACGTTTTCGTTTGCATTTCCTGCCAGAATCAAACATTCACATATCCACTCTTTGTGAGTCCATAAAAAAAAATTATAAAATCCCCATTTTGAATGGTTAAGAGAAGAGTGCCAAAATCGCCACCCTAAATTAATTTCCCAACCAGCTCAGTTTACTTGGGCATCCTACTAACCCAAATAGGCAGCCGAATAAGAAACCTCAAAGCAGAGAGCAAGTGAATTTTTGAGACCCTTGTGCATGCTCTCTGTTGATTTTAAGACTTGTATCATTACCAGGGGCATTGACTAAACTAAGCAATTGTAATCATATTCACAGCCACCCTGAAGGAAACACCAAACGAAATCAAATTGGTGCTGACTTAAAGCAGCTGAGTTGGCCAACTCCTGAAGATTATACACTAACCGCCAAATGAAAATACTTAGAAAATTGAGCTCACTCACACAACAAGTGTTTCCCATGGTTTTGGATTTAATCAATCACCTAATTTGTGCAAACTTGAGGGAATTAGACATCACTGAACAGGGAAAGGGCCATGTTCTGCCTCTGGAATTTGCTATAAATTCTCCTCACAAACTGCCACTTTATTTACTAACAAGAGTGAGAGACTCACTGAAAGATGGAAGTGATGTTGGGGATTGTTTTAGCCATCACCATTTTCACAACCTTGGCAGCAGCGGCTTCATCGGCAGCATCTCCGGTGACGTTCGTCTTCGGTGACTCGTTAACAGAAGTAGGGAACAACAATTATCTGCAGTATTCTCTTGCCAAGTCAAATTATCCATGGTATGGGATCGATTATGCTGGTGGTCAAGCTACTGGGAGGTTCACTAATGGAAGGACCATTGGGGATATAATATGTAGTCCAATTACCCCACATCCATATTTTTCTTTTCCTTTACTTCCTTTATTTCAAGAGTTCATAATTCTTTGTATTTTTTCCTTTCGAAATTTTGTAGCTGAAAAGCTTGGGATCCCGTCACCGCCACCTTATCTTTCTGTGTCACAAAATGATGATGCATTGCTCAAAGGGGTAAATTATGCATCTGGTGGAGCAGGAATTCTCAATGACACTGGACTCTATTTTGTAAGCATTTTTCTTTTGTTTATCAGATTATGACCCTGGTTTTGCAAATTATTGAGTTTTTTTTTTGGCTCTGCCACAGATTCAGAGATTTTCCTTCGATGATCAAATACAAAATTTCAACAAGACAACGGAAGCCATCAAGGCTAAGATTGGGGGAGAGGCTGCAGCCAAGCTTTGCAGTGAAGCCGTCTACTTCATTGGAATTGGTACTCTGTTAATGCACAAACGACCCAAATGAAATATCTTTTACATGAAAACAACTCATTTTCTTCAGGGATATTGTAACATTTCCTCAATTTCTGTCCTGTTCTTATTCATTTTTCAGGCAGCAATGATTATGTCAACAATTACTTGCAACCCTTCTTAGCTGATGGTCAGCAGTACACTTACGACGAATTCGTGGAACTCTTAATCACCACTTTAGAGGGGCAACTTATGGTTAGTTTAATTTCTCGTCTTCTTCCTGAGTTTCTGGTTTATGTTTACAACATTCCACATTTTGGAGAACCAGAAAACTTCCGTTTATTATCCTAATTGTTTGTGTTAGAGGCTCTACAAACTCGGTGCTCGAAAGATGGTCTTCCATGGTCTCGGCCCCCTTGGCTGCATTCCTTCTCAGCGGGTGAAATCAAAGACAAGACAATGCTTAAAGCGAGTGAATGAGTGGGTTATAGAATTCAACTCCAAAGTACAAAAGCTAGTTGCATCTCTCAACAGGCGCCTCCCAAAAGCAAAACTCGCATTTGCAGATACATATGGAGATGTTTTCGACTTGATCAACAACCCTACTGCATATGGTAAATTAAACTGAAATATTCAATGGTAGATTATTTACAGAAAAAATTAATTTACAACATACACAAATTGATCCATTGTCTTTCAGGTTTCAAGGTCTCTAATACATCGTGTTGCAATGTGGACACATCACTCGGAGGGCTATGCTTGCCTAATTCAAAAATGTGTACAAACCGGAACGACTATGTATTCTGGGATGCATTCCACCCTTCAGATGCAGCAAACGCAGTTCTTGCTGATAAACTCTTCTCCAGACTATTTCCTCAGCCCCCTTCCCTTGCACCGGCACCTTCACACTGATTAGCATCCGTCATGCTAAAGCATATATTGCTAGTGGTACAGACCTCAGTAAGGCAATAATGTACCAAGGAATTCACGCTAACTCAGAGAGTTTCTAAATCGGCACACTAATGCAAAAAGGCATCTGTTTGCCCAAAATCATGTCCACCTTGTTCATGTTGGTTATACAATATGGTTCTTTATAGGTCCAAATTAACAATGGTGAATATCTTATTGTAAATCTCTTCTCAGGGGGAAAAAAAAGTAATTTACACAGAACAATTAGTGTAAATTTTCTTTAACTGACAAACTCGCAATCACAAATCACATTTTTTTTAACTGGGAATTTGGGATCAGACTGACGTGCAAAACATAACTCAGCATAGCAGAAGCCTATGTCACAGTTTAATCATCATTCCCCAAAATCCATGCCAAACATAAAATCCAATGTACATTATGAGACAATTGAATTACTCATCCAAACGTAAAACAATTTAAAACCTTCGTGGTAAAATTCAGGGCAAAAAAATCCAAAAGAAAATCCCAACAAAAATTAGCATGGTGATTGGTTGCTCTCAGTCAAGGGCCAAAGTTTTCCACATAAGAGAACATAAAAAGAGTTGGGTAGAACCATCTCAAGATTTAAGCCAGGAGAATAACAGCAGGGCTTCAAATGCTTAGCAAAGCCTTCTTCTCTTCCCTAAAAGGAAGAGTCAGATAAAAAAAATATATCAACCACCACTCTTAGACAAAAGAGTCATTGGGCAATACCAAGCACAGGAAGCACCGCCATTGATCTACCTGACTTAAATCAGAAGAGGGTAAATCCAACCCTTCAATTCTCAGTTCGGTGTGGTTAAAGCAAATGAAATCATCATCGAGCAAAAGAGTAGTAGGTGGGTGTTTCGGAGATGAGAAAATTGTGGCACTTACGAGAAAAGGTCAGAACCCAATAGAGTATGAGAGCCTGCCAGTCCAGAAGAACCAATCCTTTCGGATTTGATTTCGCATCGTTTCGTAGTCTCTAGGCTACAAAAAAGAGCAGAGAGGTTCATAGTAGATGCCTTCTGCAAATCCTATTCAAGAAAATCAAATATAAACAATACGACTCTTCAGATTTTATAAAATGAAACTTTTGAAAAAGAAGATTTGCAAAGAGATGAAAGACGTTGAGCAGCTGCAGAGTTGTTTGTGGTTGATTTTATATAGAAGCAGAAATTAGGGTTTGTGGATGCATTTCTTCAATTGTCCGCGACGTTCATTAGAATTACAAAATCACCTCCTCACTTGGCGTGGGCCGTTGCGTTCGACACTATCAGCTTATCCAATTAGAGCATCTCCCCTCCTCAAAAGGCAGAGGTATCAAACGGGTCCATCGGCCCATTTAATAAACGGGTTGTGATGGATAAGTTCATTTATGAAAGAACTCTTTATGAAAATCATCAATTTCAGTACAAGTTTAAATAGCCCGGCCCGTTGGGTTTTGGGCCAGCATGGCCTGTGATGGGCCACGATCCGGCCCAACGGTCAGCCTAAAAATATGAGTCATGCCTTGTCGGGCCATTATTAAGCAGGTCGTGCTCACGTTGTGCTCGGACCGACCCGATCCGTTTGACATCTCTACTCAAATGAGATGTTATTTGCCAAGTGAACAAGAAATGGTAACAATTTTTTGGTAGAAAAAAATTGTAACAATTGACAGAGTAATTTTATTATGTTCCGGTTGATGTACCATCCAATACACATGAGATATGTGAAAATATTCTCCAATACACATAGAACTTAAAAAAAAAAAAATTCCACATGCCCCATGTATATTGAATGGTACACTAACTACACACAAAAAGTTCTCCAATTGACATTATTCTGGGGCTATAGTTGACATGGAATAGCAGCAGGAGAGCAATGTAAAAAATGACGCTTCCAAACTCATGTGTTATTTTGAATCTTTTGATTATTTTAATAGATTATTATTATTATTGGGTAGGAACTCACGGATCGAAAATAGGAGTCCGGATACTCCGAATCAATGATCCAAAGATTATATAAAAGGTGATCGTTCGATCGTGAGCTATCCGACCGCTTGATCTAAACCAAACTTGCAGGACGTGTTTAGTAAATATTGTTGAACCCCCAGGAACTTTCAGATTATTAATCGGAGGTCGTGGACCCCACGGGAGACCGTGTTGACCAATATAAGAATTTAATCGTATATTTAATCTCGGGTCTTTTCAGACCATTCCAACTATCAGAACTATTGGAAATGGGACTAGGAACTTTCTTAAATTATGCACACACACTTTAAGGCAGGGAGTCAGGGAGTCAGGGTTTTGATTAAATATTTGTGGTTGAGCATTGAGCTATTTTAATAATTGAATGTTTTAATCGCTTAAATAGGTACTCGGGCTCCACCAAACCCACAGGAAGGACCCTCGAAGGGTCAGGCAAGCTCGGACACACAGTGAGTGGACGTTTGTTTTATAAATGAATTTTCTGCAGTAAAAGTTTTATTAATTGATCATGAATGAATTATTTATGGTTTTTGCTTTCCAAGCATACAGTTTGAATTCAAATGCTTTTATAAGATTTTGTTTATGATTAAATGTGAATGGCTTGGAGAGTAGAAAAGGAAATGATAACAGGATTTAAGGATTAAGTGAGAAACAATATTATAATTTTCCAGGAAAGGTTTTTAAATCACCATAGGTACCCAAAATGTTGCATTCAAATAAATTGTTGCCTTCGGATATAATGATGTCCATAGACATCTTAGTTGCCTTCGGTTGAGTCAGCGCTCTTTTGACAATTGCCCCATGAGTCCTAGGGATATTCGGACCATGAGGAGCAAGGAATGCGGCTTAAGTTGACCGAGTGTCTCTTGAGTTTTGGGACGAATGCGGCTCGGGTTAACTTTATGTTTCCTAGTCCTGCGAGGAGGTGTCGCTTATGTGACACTTGGAATTGACGGTATAATGTGGGAAATAAATAGAAAAATCATGAAATTGACAGATTTATAAAGGGTACACCTAGGTGGAAAGGAATTATTATGTTTCAATGCTTTCGAATGGTTTTTGATGAGTATGAATGTTTATATGAATATAAATATTCATGCTTGATTTTTTTACGAATATAGAACATGGATTAAATGAATTTTCAAATGTTTTAACAATGGAGTTAGTATGTTGATATTCTATTTTGCATAACTTTCTTTTGTCCACTTATGTTTTCAATGTTTTGCGCCCCCAAGCAGTAATCGAGTACCGGAACACCACCATTGGGCATTCATCACCCACCACTCATCCACTTCCATTATGTATGATATTCTACTGTGAACGCACTATTTTTGTAAATTAAATTAATTAGTATGCTATGATATTGTCCTAAGATTTCTATAAGGCCTGAGGCCACACAAATTTGAAGTGGGATGATGTGTGTTCTAACATTGTGCATGCTGAACGATTGTGGATATATGAATTGCATTTTGTACAGGTGTAAATTTTGGGAAACGAGCAGTTTACAGGGGGGGACTCTGCCAATTTTTGGGTAGAAGTCAAACCTTAAAAGAATTTTTGAGTTTTAGTTAAAAGGGCAATTTGGTTAAGTGTGCCCGGCACTTGCCAGGTGTTGGACATGCATAGGGTTCAGCACAGATTCCAAAGTGGAATTTGGGTCGGGTCCTGTCAACTTGGTATCAGAGCATTAGGTTTGAATTCTCGTAGACTTTGCACATTGTGTGCATTCCTATAATGATGAATTCATGTTCTTGTAACAGAATCATGGGCCTTAAGCGTGGTGGTACTCGTAGGGGGACTCGTCATTCGTCCCAACTTCGTGGACATGATGCCTCTCATGAGACGGAGAACTATTCTTTTCCGGGTTCGACACAGGAACCTATCGAGTAGTCAGTTATAGGAGATCCGACCGGGGCAGTACAGGTGATGCCCACCCAACCAGTTGACCATAACTTTTAGTAGACCTTTGTTGACTCAGGCTTTGTCTCAAACAAGCATAACAGAGATCCATATTTGACATCTGCGGATCAGGCCAGAAGAATTGGGGCAGTGGAGTTTAACGGTGATGGTGACCCAATTATAGCATAAGAGTGGATTGAGAAGATGGAAAGGATCATGGATGTAATGGAAGTACTTAGTTAATTTTAGGATTCATTTAACAGTACCTTTGTGAATAAGTGCATTGCAATTGCACGAGATCTGGACCGTTGAATTTGAAGGGAAAG